ATCTGCAGCGAAATGCGGCTGGTGACGCTGGAGACATAACAATTCTTGGTATTTCTATCCCCTGATGTGTTTTTATTTATTATTTCATAGTAGTTGTGGCGTTCACAATCATTATTTTCAGTTCAATCAATAAACATGTAAAAGTTTTTTTTTCTTACCTCAGCCTTAGGTTAGAGTATCTGATACTGATACAACAAACAGAACAAAACAGAAAGATTACTTAATCTCAACGTTTATGTTTATGACATTCTTATAGTTTCTCCTGCTGAACACAATGATAGTTTCTTATTGACTTTACACCATGACAACCACAACAACAGTCTGCAAACATACTGCATGAAATGCATTGTTTAGTATTTAAATAACTATCTAACATTTACTTTGCTAATATTGCAATAACATTACATTTGCAATATAAAGACCAAGTCCTACCATAACGTTATTGGGAAAAAAGATGGCAAGTCAAACCTTAGAAGTTTAAGGTAAACATTTATGAGTTTAAATTACATTAAATTTGCTCCGCTAAGTTTATTATAGGATCCTAATTTAAGATTAATGCTGCTAATACCTTAGAGGTATTAATGCTGATACGGGCACTGACATCTTTTCAGTTTATAAACCTAAATTTAATTGTAAACTAGGCTTAGTAACTTTTTCACTTTACTTTTTAACTGTTCAATTAGCTTTTTACCTTGTTTTGACTTTTTAATCAGCTTTTTACATTTTTTCCTTGACTTTTTAAATTTTTTTCTTGACTTTTTAATTGACCTTTTTCCTTAAATTTTTTTTAATTTTTATTAACTTTTTTAATTTTTTTCTTGACTTTTAACTTTTTAGTTAACTTTTTATCTTATTTTTCTTAATTTAAAATTTTTTTTTTTTTTACCTTTTTTCTTCACTTTTTAATTAACTTTTTTCTTTTTTTCTTGTACTTTTTTCAACTTGAATTGGCTAATCTAAATGGTCAAATGGCAAAATAAGATGTACAGCCATGTAGCAGTATCTTTGGATATAGATCTTGCCCTATAAAGGTTTAAAAGTGAATCCATAAGAGCACACAATAATTGTCTAAGTTAAACAAGATGAAAACGCTATAAATTACAGAATAGTTTCATATTTTGATCTGTTTAATGTTTACACTGATGCCTCTCTGGATAAAAATAGCCTCTGATTAAATTTGAGGTGCATGTGGCCTTCATTTCCTAGCCTGGGTGCCAGTCAGAACTTAGTCCCGCCCACAAGGTTTGAGTTCGGGGAAGTTCGGTCTGGCTCTGCTCCATAGTAGCGCGAGTATTATCGCCCACTGTCAGGCGATCCAATCAAATTGTCAGGGCGGGCTTTATACGATGATGGACAGATGATCAAGAGTAACGTAATCAACCACGTGACCAAAGCGCGCTAGGGTGACAACAATAATGGCTGCCGCTGGAGAGTTTGGGTGAGTAGATTCTGCTATTAGGTCTGTTCTAGAAGATATTGACAGCAAATTAATTTTAAAAGAGGAACAGAGAGACGCGATCAAGTCTCATCTTCTTATTCTAGGCGTGAAACTGCACGCTTTGATTTTTGTGGACAACAACTATGCCTCACTTAACATACGTCACGCACTCCGTTGCTCTTATTGGTTGTAGGTCTATCCAATTGAGTGCAGAGGCATTTTTTTTCCTGGTTCGTTCGAAACACGCCCCATAATCACAGCTCTATGGAGCAGCATCAGACTCATATTCTGACTAGAATTGAGTCGGACTACGTCAGGCTATTCATTTCCCAGTTTAACATTCATCTCCAGACCTGGAACTTCTGTTCTCACATACATAGGATCATTCGCGCCACCTGCTGGCCACGATGAGAACACATGTAATAGGAAAACCCAACAAACTGAATCTACGTGTGCAGGAAACAGCAGGGTTCTATGCAAACGGAAGAAAAGAGGCATAAAAAGAAAAAGCAGGACATTATTCAGTGGCTCAGGAAGACACGAACTTCCTGTTTTAGATCAACAAAATTATTAAAATTTGGTTTTCGATGACTTCATTTCAAGTTTCACTTGTTTCCTGTAGAAAATTTTAAAGGTTGAAAACACAGAAGTGTACAGAAACGTATTGCTGTCACTTGAGAAAATAAATTTGACAGCAATACGCTACTGTAAGAAAAAACAAAAAACAAGAATATTTTATTTTTTACATATTCTGCCCACACGGTCTCTTTACTGCCCTCCTGTGGTCTTAGGTCGTAAATACATAGTAAAACTGGGAAGCAGTTTCTGGAAACCGGCTCGCTACACAGCTACAAATATGTTTAGACAGCGCCAGGTTTATGCCCCTGCCCCCTGGTGGCTACACGGACTAACTACAAGTAAAATAAAGCTAGCACAAAACACTCAGGGTTACACTTCCGGTGAATTCTTTCAAAGTAAAACACAAAACCGCTGTCGTTTTAAAAAAAATTATTTAAAATCCATTGGGAACTCTAGCTTTTTCTAAATAATTAAATTAACAAGCTACGTTGTTGACGTTTCCTGTTCATTACTCGTCTTTTCAATGAACCACACTTCTTTTGTTAGATAGCTGTGTTCATTTTATTGCTAACTTTTCAGTTATCCAGAATCTTCTTCTGTTACAACAGCAGAACTCACACACACAAGAACTCGCTCTCATTGCCCCCCAGTGGACAGCAGCAGTATAACTTGTACATAGAAATTGACAGGGTATAGAACTTGCAGGAGCAGCTACTTTACAATGTAAATTAGAGACATGAACACAAACATAAAATAACTCAGACGAGTGAAGATGAGGACATATTCTAACAAAGTGTATAATGGTCTTTTATATATATTAAAAAACAGTAAGTCAAGCTACAATCTGCTTAAATATGAGAATAAAAGCTAGCTGCTCTACTATAAACTACAGGATGTTTCTGTTTAAATGAGATAAAAATGCTTTTAATATTGGGAGATAAATCTTAATAGCTTGATTCTTCCATAACATTTTAGAAATGATAAACTAATAAGTTAAAATTAAATAGACCACTTTGAAATCCTTTGTTGATGTGAATACAAAAAATTAAGTTTACTGTCTTTTTTGTTGTTGTTTCTGGTCAGTTATGATCAATATGGGTGATTTAAGTTTATAAATAGGCTGTCAATTGTACTACCAGCCTGGATCTGGCTGGGCGTACGTTTTTTTTTTTTTTTTTAAGAGTGCAAGATAAGCATGGAGGAAATGTTTGTCCTTTTCTGTTTTCAGGCCTGAGGAGAAATAAACTAAGAGAACTGAAGGAGTTTAATTTACAAAAAAAAAAAAAAATGTCTTTTGCCAGCATGAATTACTTGTCAATGGTGCATCTGTTGCCTTTCTGGGTTTTTTTTTTATTTAACACTGGGCCACAACTTGTAATAAACCCAAAAAAATACTTTTTTCAGGTCTCATCCCAGAGATATTGACAGTAAATTGTTTTTATAATCAATGTCTGCAAAAACTATAAACATAATACAACTATAAACAAAATAAAGCATAGAACAAGAATATTTTATGTTTACATATTCTGCCCACATGGTCTATTTACTGCCCTCCTGTGGTCTTAGGTCGTAATTACATAGTAAAACTGGGAAGCAGTTTCTGCAAACCGGCTCGCTACAGAGCTACAAATACGCTTAGACAGCGCCAGGTTTATGCCCCTGCCCCCTGGTGGCTACAAGGACTAACTACAGGTAAAATAAAGCTAGCACAGAACACTCAGGGTTACACTTCCGGTGAATTCTTTCAAAGTAAAACACAAAACCGCTGTCGTTTTAAACAATTTAATTTAAAAATCCATTTGGAACTCTAGCTTTTTCTAAATAATTAAATCAACAAGTTAAGTATATAATGTTATTTTATATCTAAATAAAACAGTCAATCACGCTACCATCTGCTTTAATATGAGAACAAAAAAGCTCTACTATAAACTACAGGAAGTTTCTGTTTAAATTAAATAAAAATGCTTTTAATATTGGGAGATAAATCGTAATAGCCTGATTCTTCCATAACATTTTAACAATGATAAACTAATTGATAAGTTACAATTAAATAGACCACTTTGAAATCCTTTGTTGATATGAATACAAAACAGCTCAACTGTATTATAATAATAATATAATAATAAAGATCCTTGATATGACACATTGAGTCCAAACTTTCAGTAAGTTTCTCTTCATTCAGAATCCCAAACAGAACAGAATTCAGAACAGATTCACTAAGAACCTGGTTTGTTCAGGAAGATCTGAGCTCCGAGGATCAAACCTGGAACAACAAGAAGAAAACATTTAGAGTATGACTGTCATGCATGTGATGAAATTACATGTTTAACACACATTTGGCACATTATATTTATCTCTGTGATGTAATTTGCCTTCTGATGTTTCAGACTGAACCATCTGATCTACAAAGCTAAAGCTAGTCATGTGAACACAATCAGCTCCAGACCTCCAGACCTCCAGACCTGGAACTTCAGTTCTCACATACAGTGGATCACTAGCTCCCCCTGCTGGACACGACGAGAAGACATGTAATAGGAAAACCCAACAAAATGAATACATGTGTGCAGGAAAAAGCAGGATTTTTATGCAAAGGGATGAAAAGAGGCATAAAAGCAAATGCAGGACGTTATTCAGTAGATCAGGAAGACACAAACTTCCTGTTTTAGATCAACAAAAACATTTAAAATTGTTTTTCAATGACTTCATGTCAAGTTTTACTTGTTTCCTGCAGAAGATTTTATAGGTTGAAAACACAGAAGAGGCATTTTTACTCTGGAAGAGAGAAAAAAATCAGCTTTTCAAACAAACCCTTTCTCATGAGTAAATCTTCAGTGAAACAACAATGTCAACATTATTGCATAATATTTAGGTTTAATATCAATGTGAAGGATGAAGATGAATAAACAAGGATGATGCAAGAAAGCTGTGAGCTGCACAGTTTTAAACATCTGCAGGCTGTGGAGCATCTCAGAGGTGGAGTCAGCTCGGCGATTGGCCGGAGGGGGAACAGATCTGAACCCTGGGGAGCAACACCACACCCAACTCAAAGTATATGAGTGTTGTTCAAAACATATTATTCTCTTTCTCTGTTTGTTCCTATTGAGGATTAAACAACTACAGGCTGAAAACTTGTAAGTTATTTTGCATTGCTTCTTTGTCGTTCTTTTTAGACTAATTGCATCCAGATGAAAATGTTTCAGCTTTTGTTTTTACTATGTATTAAAACAATGCAGGCAATATTCTTAACTAATACAGTGCAGGTCTTTTAAGGCTGTTCATATATAATTAATTTTTTTAAATTGTGTTTCAAGGACTCCAATTATTTTAAAAGAAAAAAAAGGATTTATAATTCAAAATACAGCAGCAGGTTTGTTTTGTTGTTGTTTTTTTGTCCGGATGCACTGCAGCTGTGTCAGAGTTAAGTGAAGCATGACACATTATGATAAACATCACCTCTGAGTTAATTTGGTGTCCATCTGAGTTTATGACAGTCAGAAAAAAAAAACCCAAAAGCTTTTAAAAGACTGGATTATTCCATGACACTTCACACACAAGTTAATTTTGCAAGAATCTTGTGTCTAGTACACAGCATTAGGCAACTCAAGCAAATATTCACCGCTGCATTTTAGCAGCTTTTTCCTTCATCCATTCAGATCTGGATGAGTTTGTAGGCCTGAAATCATTAAATGCAAAATATAAAAAAATAAAAACAATGAAAAAGTTCTCTGGGGAAAAAAATCTGCATATAATCTTAGGAAATAATACAAAGAAATCAGTAAGTTTTCAATGGAAGCCTTTGTTTATTATCCCTCCAGGTGAAGATGAACGCCTACACGACTCCCTCGCCTCTGACTCAAACATCGACTGACACATATCCAACTTATTCAGACCTTGTGACCAAGATTGGAAGGAAGGGTGTGTATCCTAACTGACCACATCATCGGTTTATAAATCATGTTTTTCCAAAGTCTAACACATGAACAGTAGATAAACAGCATCTGTCTGCAACATTGAGATTTATTATAAATTATTATAAATGAGGAGTTTTATTATAAATGAGGAGTTTTATTATAAATGAGGAGTTTTTTCTTCTCCTAAATCCCTAAGTCCCTCTAATGTTCCCTGCATTTAACAGAAAAGGCCTGCTTAAAAAATTAAAGAAACAAATTAGGAATTTTTTTTTCTGTACTGATGCCACATTTTTAGATGCATTTGATCTAAAAGTAGTAAAAATAAAAAATTATGGAGGAAACCACTTTGAAAATATATTCCCTTCTTTACTATTGAAAAATCAGGGTAAGGCCAAGTGAGGGAGGATTACAAGTTTTAAATGGAAACAAGTTTAACTTAATTTTCTCTTTGTCAAAGCTAAGTTGCTATTGCTTCAAATGTTTTCAGAGATAAATAAATGCCATAGCAATTATTTTTATTTGATGTTTTTATTATATGTCGTGAGCTAAACTCTACTAAGCTAAATGTTTAGAGTGCTAAGCTGGATGTTTCTAAGACTGCAAAATAAAACAGCTAAGCTAACATCAAATTACTGCCTTATGAATGCAGTTAATCTAATAGAGGTACCAAACAGGCTACTATGTTAAAACATTAAAGATTGAAGAAGTTGAAAGCTGTGAAGTAAAATGTTCTTAAAGTGCAACTAACCCCAAAATTTTTTAAACAGATAAATTGCATAAACTAACTAACAATTACTATTTACATGTTAGTGTGATTGATTGTTTTATTTGAGCTTATTTAGTTTTGCAGTATTTGTCTTCTAGGCAGAGATGGCAAAAGTACTCACTTTCCGTACTTGAGTAAAAGTACAGATACTTGTATTAAAAAATACTCTGGTAAAAGTGGAAGTACTGATTAAACTTCTTTACTCAAGTAAAAGTAACAAAGTACAGGCTTGTAAATTTACTTAAAGTATAAAAGTAAAAGTAGAAACCACTTTTTTCATGCCGTTGCCTACATTTTAAATGGATGTCTGCCAATAGGACTAGATCTCTGTTGTGTTCATTTTCAATCATCTCGTCGTCGATGCTACTATGCTAACGCCACCGCCACCAAGCTGCAATGATTTGCAGCGAAAGAATGCCGCCGAATCTGTCGATTCATCTTGTAGTGGTGCGTCAAATGCAACGTAGATTCCCATCCAATTAGATTGAATTTGGTATTGATGACGTGAAAAATAATAACGGTAACTCCATTGAAATGATTCAAAACTAAAGTAACGAGCCAATTTTTAAAAATGTTAGGAGTAGAAAGTACAGATATTTGTGTAAAAATGTAAGGAGTAGAACTAAAAAGTCGCCATAAAAATAAGTAGTAAAGTAAAGTAAAAATATCAGAAAAATCTACTTGAGTACAGTAACAAAGTATTTGTACTTTGTTACTTCCCATCTCTGCTTCTAGGTGACCCTTTGCTGTACGCCTGGAGTCTTTAAATATCTTGTTTTTCTTTGAGTCTCCTTTTCCTCTCGGTTAGACTTTAATTCTAAAATGCAAAGCAGCATATAATCATCTCATTGACATCTTTTCATAGAATTTTAGGTAATAAAAAGGTTCCTTCGCTAGTAGATTATTGTACCTGTCCTAACAAACTGCAAATATGGCGAAAAGGAAGACTTTGAAACCTGAAGGAGGCTGGTTATAAAGTAGCTCATTTGTATTTAAAGCTCGTAGGGAAGCGGCTGTTCCAACCGTTGCATTTCTGAATTCTCCCGAGTGGTGCCCAACTTTACATGGGTGAATAAAGTGAATCTGATTGGTCGTTTATCAAGAGGGCGGGATTGTTTTGGTGGAATGTTCGCAAGTTATTTGATTGTGGCTGGTTTGTCGGAAGCATCTTGCTAACCACTTAGCAACTTTGTGCTAGTAGGTTCCCAGTGGGAAATTCAATTGGGACCAAGTAGCACTTACTGTAGCAACAATTCTGTCAAGGAACGCTATGGACAGCGCAAACATGCAAGAGGAGGAGAGTTTAGTGTCGGAGGTCGTGGATGAATCTCCTCCGTCATCCATTTTTTATTTAGAGGAGGAAAGCGGGACGAAGATGTTGTGGAAGAGGACGCCAGGGCGGCAGAAGCTTGGTTTGGTGTAGAAGGCTTCCAGCCGTACATGTTTGAGCCCTTGCCTCGCAACGCTGCCAGTTCTGTTAGCTCTACGCCTGCAGAAGACACAGACGTCCATCCTGTGAACACTGGGACGCAACTCAATGGCAAAGGAAATTATGCTTATTTCAATCGTTGCGTATATTAGCTGCGACATATGAATGAATATGCTATGACTGAAAAAAATTGATTGACAGATGACGTTGATATATGATTGGTCGAATTTACGTGTACGAGCTGACGTATAACTAACTGACCTGCATAAAATAAGGTGAAAAAAAACACAGATTTAAAGACAGGATTCTTTTTTTTAAATAGAAATTTTCACACAGCTGTTGGCTTAACGCAGGAAAAGTACATTTATATACACATTTAAGCCAGAATGATTTGACATTTAAATATGATTTCCCTACGACTTTAAAAAAGTAAACGAGACGTTCTAAGATGTTCATTAGAAAATAAGCGAAGTGGACGCCTAAGGAGCTACAGCCAGACCAAAAAATCGTAGTTTCACTTTAAATAAAGACCATAACTGGTTGATTTAAATTAAAAAAGAGGAATTTAAAAGTATTGATAATTATCATAAGTATCACATGTGGCCCTTAAACCAATCTAACTCCTGCCATCAGACGTTGAAGAGAGGCTACTGAAGTTATTAGTGCAAACCTTAAATGCTGGAAGAAGATTTTATTTACAGGTTTTGTCACCAGAGTTACTCACTGCTCAGCAGCACCAGCTTCAAGCTTCACTGATCAGAACCTTGAAGCAAGACGCTTGAATTGCTGAGGCTCTGAACCTCTGAGCTCCACAAAACCCAAAGTTCTAATTCAATGGTTTAACATTCTAATGCAGTTAAAATCACTTTATAAAAAAGGTGATGACATTCTGAATAAAATGATTTTACATTCAAACGGATAGATCAAGTTCTTATTTAATGCATGTATTTCTTCTACTGATTAATTGATGTCAGGTTAAATCATTTAACCTCATGTGACATCAGTGATGGGCCCAAATCATGCTTTCATTCACACGTCTTAGGAGTATTAAAAACAATGTAATGCGGTTTTACTGCAGGGTGTGTCTTATCAGCCTGAAGCCCCCTGGGGCGTGTCACCATGGAGATAAGTGTCAAGCATTGATATCAACAGGACGTGGTTTCCACAGCAGGGCTAAATGTGCAAAGATGTCCCTGAGAAATTAATTTATTGCAGTAAAAAACAAAGCTAATATCCATAAAACAAAACAAAGTAACAGATTGGGATCGCAAAATGACTAAAAGAGATCTTTAAACAAAAAAAATGACTGTGGAGTTTATGATAAAGTCTATTATCTAAATAACAGCCTTAATTTTAAATAGATATCTTTAGATATCTAAAGGTTATTACTGCATTAAAAGTATACATGCACCAAGGGAATCTTTAAACATTTGAGTTAGAGCTTTAAGAGAACCAGACAAAAAGAGATATGTGTTAAAATCATGACATTTTCTGTTTTTATAAACTTATATCATGGGGTCAAATGTGTTTTTTTCCTTCTCAGCTTTTAATATGAAACTCCTAATTTATTTATCTCTTTATTATAGAAATCTTTAAATGAATGTCCAAAATGTCTATAGATTGTTAAAAGCTGAATGTTGGGTTTCAGCACTAAAACATTCAAACTGTGACAAAGTGCAACAACAAATCAAAATGAATATATTAATAGGAATTACATCTAAACGGAATCTTTCTGTCTTTACAGATATCTACAGCAGCACAGAGGATTTTGCAGCCTTAATAGGAGGTGAGACATACTGTAAACTCCTTTGCAGATTTAATGATGTACTGCTAATTTTGTTGCACTCTCCTCTCATTCATGTATAAAACACATTTTCTGTTAAAGGCACACTATGCAACATTTTTCAGTTAATTAATGTGTTCCATAACGTTTTGGATGATTAAATGAGTCATTTCAGGTTGAACAAAGGTATTCTCGGCCGCCCTGGTGGTCTGTGGGGGAAATACCGCACTTGCAATTGCAGGAGCCCTGACCCGCACCCACAGGCTCAGAAGTCTCGCGAGAGTCGGTCTTGCTTTACGGCGAGAACTGCTACACCCCCCAGTTAAAAGCATGCTCGTTGCTAGCACAGTGGCGATCTTTGTGCAGTGCTGCTTTCACACCGGACGCAGCAAAAGCAGCAAAATCGCGTGTGCTGCTTCATTTTTACTGCTTGTACCAGTTAGTTTTGACGAGCGGCTGAAGCAGCTTTGCTGCTCTGGCTGCGCGGTGCAAAAGTGTGTCTGACGCGCGTTGGGCGGAGCTTCACTATCCTTTCTCTGCCTTGCAGCTATATTTGCTGTGATCAGTGGGAATAAAGTAGTTTTAATATGTTTTTAAGTGAGAAAATCCACCTGAAAACGTAATCAGTGCAGTCAGTTCATTCACATTATCATCCTGCCTTCCAATATTTTTTCTGTCGGAGCCGCTCAGACCCCCACATACCAGCGGTGCGCCGACAGTAGGAATCCCTTCATCAGCAGCCTCTGGCCGGGTCGCCTCCTCACGGTTCACCGCGGCAGCTGGTAGGTGTTTTTCATCTAAATAATCCAAACTGCAGGCAGCAGGATAATAAAAGCGAACATATTCTGCCGGCAGATTTCTTCATTTTAAGTTAATTTAGGCGTCAATAAACTGTTTCAGAGGAGTGATCATAGCGCTCTGATCATCAGCGCTGTGTCTCTCTCCCTGCCAGCTCCCAGATCAGCTTCTCTGATTGGTTGACGCGGCGCGTCGAGCAGCAAAAATTAAATTTTTCCATCTCGAGCAGCAGCGCGTTTGCGGCGCGTCAGATGCTCATTCGTTGCGTTCGCCTGTCTGCTAAGCTCAAAACAACCGCGCCTGGCTTGACGGAGAAACCAGGAGAACAGCTGTGCATATTTACGACAGTGCACTTTTACTTTCACCCTCTGGGGGGAGCCTCGCTGGAAAATCAACACCGGTAGCATAGTGTACCTTTAATACTTGGGTGTTTTTCAATCATCTGCAGTATAATAGATCACATAAATGAACAAAAGAACCATTTTGACCTGGTTGATAAGGTAAGAAGTATGACCACAAAATCACCAAAGGGAAAATTAAGGAAAAAAAACCTCTAAGTATTATTTCAAGTTGAGCTGCAAAGATTAATGGAAACATCTTAGTCGTATGGAGTAAAGGGAACTTTAGAGAATAAAAAGGACCCCCAGCTAACAGACAATTTTTTTGGTTTCATTGTTTTGCCATAAATCAAAATATCCTAGAATGAGTTCTGAAAACCTGTTCTGTAAAGAACAAATGTAAAAGCCGTTTTAACCATGGAAACTGTAAAATTGCGTTATTTTCTTCATTTTTTTTTCTTAAATCAGTGCAGAAAACTGAAAAAAGATGTTTTTATATCACCCTAATGAGATTGTTTGACTGGATTATAAAGATTTAACAGATAAAAAACCCGAATTCTTTGATATATCCATGGTACAGTTAAGTCCAAAATTATTCACACCCTGAAAAGATTCTCTGTAGTTTTAAAGTGAATCTGACCAACATTTTTCTTCTGACGGTAAATACTATAAATGTTTGAGATCCTGACTGGAATCTGATAAAAATCTGTGGATGGAGCTAAACATTAGTGTCATGAGGTGAATTTAGGTGGGTTTAATGAGGTTTACAGGAACTGAGGCAGGAATCAAAAATCCAACAGAAATAACAGACGAACCAGAACCAGGGAGACATCAGGAGTAAACCAAAATTCTAGGAGCCAGGGAGAGACGAGGTACGCAGACAGACGTTAGACGAGGATCCAGCAAACAGGAATTGAAGAGGGAGGGCTTTTAAAGGGGACAGAGACAAAGAGAGGGCTAACGAGGGGATTGAAAACAGGTGAGGGCAGAACAGAAAACAGAGCAAGGGAAAGAGGACACAAGAGGGCAGCAGAGGACAACAAATGGAAAACCAAGAAAAACAGGAACTAACAAACCAAGAGTCTGACAATTAGGGTGATGGTATAGCGTCCTTCCAGCCTTGAAAACATATTAAGTTTAGTTTAATTCTAAACTAAGTTTAGTTTTGTAGTAAGGAGGGGGAGGACAGATATGAAAAAGTTTCCACTACTACAGAACAGGTGTCAAACTCTGGTCCTTTTAGGTGTGTTTCTACTTCAAGACATCTGAATTAAAATCTCCAGGTCGCAATCCTTATTCGTAAATCCATTCCATTTACCTTTAACTTCATGTCTGCAGACTCAGGAGGAAGATATGTCATTGTCACTGGCGATATCAATTCCATCCCTGTTGCCTTATTAAATATTTATGCCTGGAATTATGACTGTCCCGATTTTTTCTGCATGATATTTGATATTGTTGCACAATGTAATAATAGGGAAATCATTTTAGGTGGTGACTTTAATTGCTATCTCGATCCTTTGCTGGATAGGTCCTCAAATAAAGCTGCCTCTTCTTTGAAATCAGTATCCGTTTTAAATAATCTCATGCAGTCTTTAAATTTAGTTGATATCTGGAGGCTTCAGCGTCCCTCTGATCGTAAATACTCTTTTTTTCTCCCTCCCATGGTAGTTTTACCAGAATTTTTTACTTTTTAATCGATTCAAAATTAATTTCACATACAGTCAGCTCAATGTATCACAGCATCTTGATTTCAGATCACGCTCCTTTAAACTTTAAACGTTATGCTCCGTCGTTTAATTGGAAATTTATTCCCCCTATTAATTCTGTTCAATCATTTCAGGATTATGTTTCTTCCAAAATCTCAGATTTTCTTTTTTTTAATGACAACAGAGAAGTATCTGACTCAGTTCTGTGGGAGTCATTTAAAGTAGTATTAAGGGGAAATATTATTTCTTATCAGTCTTCAGCCAAAAAGACCAGATCACAGCGTCTTACAGATATTCAGGCTAAATTGACTGTTCTTGAGGACGGCTATCAGAATTCAAATGATGAAAATATACTTGGTGCTATCCTAAAGATAAAATCTGAATACAATTTCATGCTTGGGGAACAAGTTGGTAATTACATTCGCAAACTTAAACAAAAACATTTTGAACTAGGGGACAAGTATGATAGATTGCTTTCCAGACAAATCAAAGGCGCACTTGCAGATAGAGCTATTCATAAAATTTATTTCCCCTCTGGGCTAATGTTAACTGACCCTAAACTCATAAATGACACCTTTTTCAATTATTACAGCAATTAATAGGGACAATTTAAATGTCCCTGTTCTGGATGAATCCGCCAGGTTAGACTTAGATTCTAATTTTACACTTGAAGAAATTCTTTATCTTCTGGTAAGGCTTGTGGTCCGGATGGGTTTGGGATAGAATTTTATAAAAGTCATTTGGATCTGGTTGCCCCTCTTCTTCTGCGCATGGTGAACTCTTCAGTTAGTAAGGGAGTATTCCCTCAGAGTTTGTATGATGCTGATATCTGTCTCCTCCTGAAGAAAGGCAGGGATTGCTCTAATGTTGCCTCATATCATCCTTTAAGCTTACTAAACTGCCATCAAAAAATAATTGCAAAAGTATTAGCTACCCGTCTAAACAAACATATTGCTCACCTGATTCATCCTGACCAGACTGGCTTCATCCCTAATAGATATTCTTTTTCTAATACTCGTCGACTCCTACAAGTTATGTATCGGACTTCCTGCCTCTGCAGTTATTTCATTGGATGCTCAGCAGGCATTTGATCAAATTGAATGGGACTATTTGTTTTTGGTCCTCCAAAAATTTGGATTGGTGATAAATTTATGGCATTATTAAAAATGCTCTATGCTCACCCCAAGTCTTCAGTTTTGACTAATTATGACAGGTCTGCCTCTTTTCCATTACACAGTGGAACCAGACAGGGGTGCTGTCTCTCACCGTTACTTTTTGCACTGGCCATGGAACCCCTTGCTATTTCCATCAGGACCCATCCGTTGATCACTGGCATCTCAGACTATACTACAGATCGGCCTTTATGCTGACGATGTTATCTTGACTCTTTCAGATGTCACAATCTCCCTTTCTCCGCTTCTTACTCTTATAAAAAAATTTGGAACGTTCTCTGGTTTTACTATTAATTGGAACAAAAGTATTTTTATGCCTCTTTCTGATGATCTGGACACTGATTTTCTTAGTAGCCTACCATTCAAAGTTTCCACAAATCATTTAGAATATCTGGGTATAAATATCCCAAGGGACCCTAAACTTGTTTTTAAATACAACTTTCTGGAGTTAATCAACAATTTTAAATCTATGATGGATCGATGGAAGCTTCTCCCTTTTTCCTTGATTGGTCGTGTTAATGTCGTTAAGATGGTGTTCCTCCCAAAATTGACATATCTTTTTCAAAATATACACATTTATCTTACTGCTTCTTTTTTTAAGATGATAGATTCCATTATAATTCCTTTTATCTGGGCTGGTAAACACCCTCGAATTTCTAAGTCTCACCTACAGAAACCTACTGCTGAGGGTGGCCTTGGCCTTCCTGATTTTCGTCATTATTACTGGGCTTGTAATTGTAGAACCTGGGTTTTTTGGAGTCATGTTTATTCGAAGGGTGAAGAGGTCAACTCATTATTGCCCAATTGGCCACTGAATGAAAACCTTGCTTCCATAGCACTTACTACTTCCTCTTTTTCCGCTGTAGTGTTGTCCAACTTCTCTTTCCCCTTTCAGTTGCTAAAGGATAATTTCTTCTTAAAAAAATCATTTAGGATTCTGAAGCAGATAAAGCTTGTTCTGAATCTCTCTGATTTCTCCATTTATGCCCCCATCTTTCAGAATGCAGCATTTAAGCCAGGGAATTTGGATGTAGTTTTCAAGCACTGGTTAGATAGAGGCATAGCTGTTGTCAAGGATTTATACATTGATAACAGCTTTGCTTCCTTTACGCAACTCCAATCCAAATTTGGTCTTCCTTCTAGCCACTTATTCAGGTATCTTCAAGTTCGCAATTTTGTTAGACAAAATTTCCCTCACTTTGAAACCATATCAGTACAACATCGCTTCTTCAAGCTTATAAAAAAGCCACCCACTTCTAGAAAGCTAATCTCTCACTTTGTTAATCTTTTCAGTTCATCTCCTTCTACTAATCATATAAAAGAGGCCTGGGCTTCTGATACACTAGTCGAAATTTCAGATGAGATGTGGAATTTGAGTCTGTCAAGGATCAAAACCTGTTCCATTAACTCCAGATTGCAACTTATTCAATTCAAGGTTATCCATCGTTTGCACTTTTCTAAAAGCAAACTTAATAAGCTGTTTCCTAGTGTCTCTCCAATATGTGACAAATGTAAATCAGACAATGGGACTTTGGGTCATATGTTTTGCTCTTGCCCTAAGCTTATGGACTTTTGGTACAGAATATTTAAATTTTAAAGTAACGCTTATGGCAAAGCCCTATATCCGGAAAACCATTTGATAATTCTGGGTTGCTCTAAATTCTCTGTTACTCTTCCCATGTCTCTGCAGCAGGCTCTGATGTTTGGTTTGGTGGTTGCAAAAGGGGTTATTCTGAGGGAATGGAAATCCTCTACACCTCTATGCTTTAAGAAAGGGCTCAATGATATGGCGTCCTGTATCTATCTCAAAGAAATTCGATACTCTTTGTCAGACAATCATGATAAGTTCCTAGATGTGTGGGGTCCTTTTAATAGACATATTCAAAATAATGGGTTAAAATGAATCTTTTCTGGACCTTTTTTCTTTTTTTAATTCTTTTTTTTATAATTATTTATTATTATCTCAATACTGTCATCCTTTATTGCACTCTTCTTTTTATTGATATCCCATGTTTTATGTTGATCTGCTTGACACAATGTCTGCAGAATTATTTGTTGTCCTCTCTGACTCTGCCTCGTGCTTTAATATGCTCTATTAATATAATAATTGTTTACTGTTTTGCTGTATTTTTTTCTCTTTTTTGTCTTGTCTGTTTACCTCTGAAAAAGCTTAAATAAAAAAAATAAATAAATAAATAAAAAGTTTCCCTAAAGAAATGTAAAATATTATTGTTTAGGAGCAAATTGAGATAAAGTTTATAATACAAAATTAAAATGTTTACAGGAACAGGTGTCAAACTCTGGTCCTTTTAGGTGTGTTTCTGCTTCAAGCCTACACATTATGGTTTAAATCAGGGGTCTTTAATGTTTTCCAGGCCAAGGACCCCAAACTGATGGCGAGATGGAGAGGGGAGCTCCTAATTATATATATAGTACGAAATTGTGTTAAATCAAACTGGCCCTATAGTAGCTCTGTTACAGATGGAGTAATATAACAAAAGTAATGTCGCCATGGGATTATTGAAGTATTTCTGATTCCTGGTTGATGGGACAGGTGTTGTGAATGAAACGGTGCCCAGCTTGAAAGAGCTCCTGTGTGTCGCTGAATGTGTGCATTGATGACTGAAAGACATCTTCTGCCTCCATTTATCTGTTTACTACAGTGTGTTGAATTCATTTTAATGTGGATTTAAAGATATTTAAATTAGTGGAAAAAATTGCAGTCTAATCAATCAAAACTTTCATGCAGTACCTCCGTTGACCCCCTAGGGTTCGCAGACCCCCTGTTGAAGACCTGCGATTTAAGGCAAACCTAGTTGGGATATGAGGGATTGCATTCTAGTCAATGAGTCGATGCAATAAACTGGTTTTCATTAGATAGAAATTTTTTTTTATCAAATTGACTGTATGATCTGGTGAACTGTAAAATATCTTGAGATGACACGTGTTGATAATTGGCGCTATAGAAATAAACCAAATTGAATTTAATTGTAAGGGTGGGAAAACGAGAGAAAAAAGTACGGCCTGTTCCTTTAGCTCTCAGGAAAGGGGAAGGGCGGTGAGCTGCAGAGAGTGAAAAAGAGGTGCACTGTTGCACAAACAGAGAAGCAGCACTAAGCAGAATTGCAAAGGAAATGGAGCAATTTCCTGAAATTTAAGCTTCAGCGTTGCAATGATGATAATGAGCCAAGACTGATACTAGCTTAGGATCAATATTACAGTTACTGGAGAACTTGATTAGATAACGAGCAGGTAAAGCAAAAATTTGACTGATGTGTGTTGGATCATGGACACAGCTTAAAGATGCTGGATATCTGACCTCAAGGGCCTAAGTTTGACAACCCTGCCCTATAGAGAGAGAGAGATGAGTGAGGATAATTATAAGATATATGATGAATAGATGATCAGGCTTACTGCTGAGTGTGGGAACGCATTCCCTAAAAGTTATAGCCTTATGTGAAAGATGAAGGTTTTGAGGTCTAAACTGTTCAGGTGAGGTTTATGGGTTTACAGTAGCATTTTACTCAACGTTTGAGTCCCAGGTCTGCCCTAATGTCGATTATTAAAATGTCTGACAATGTGCTAAATAAAAGGTTAAATTGATTTAAAATGTAGAGAAAATATTAGTATATATGAATAATTTAAACATGTTTGCTTGGTAACTGATGACTTATGCAACCATGAAGGAGGTTGTGTTGATCTATGACCTGCTGGTTTTAATCTGATCCTTGGTCCAATCCTGAAACCTTCACTGACATCTGCTCTGACTGACACATTAACTTTCAACACAATCCACAAAAATCAGGCTCTTCTAAACAAATTTATCATAGATATCAGTGTTTACTGTTTCCATATCTTTACCTCACAGGTATCATCTCCGTTGTGCTGCTGGTCTTTCTCTGTACAATCGCCATTTTGCTCTGGTGTTTATCCAGACAAAAAGGCTCGTATGTCACCAACGAGTCGGATGAAGAGAATGATGAGGTCCTCAACGAAGAAGACGAGTCTGTCGGCTCTGATGTGGCGCTTCAGTCTAAGGAACCTCTAAAGACCAACAAAGACGACTGATGGGGAAAAAACATATCCTCCAAACATAAATTCAACTTAAGAACTGATGAGATTTTTCAAATGAAAGAACAGATATGTAAGATAATGAATATTCTTTATGAGTTGCTTATTTTGTAAACCTTTTACTTTATAAAGCCCCATGAAAAGGTACTGAGACATGGCTGGTTGTTATGTAACACTTTCTGCTGATTTAGTTTGATTAATTCTCTGTGCAAATAAACTATTTTATCGGTGTATTTTAATTCAATGAGTTCATTTATTTTAGGTCTCATATTTGGTTCTTCAACAGAGTAGCTTAGAGAGAGTGAGAGCAACGAGCAGACAGATCTCCTGTAGGATTAAAAATTTCAGTAAACATATCTGGGAGATTGTTCTACTTTTGTAGAACAATTTAAACAATTAAACCAAAAATAAGAGAAAGAAAAAACAGGATGAAAGCAGGTAGAGAAGAAAATAAAACAGTTGGATCAGAACATTAAAATAACAATACCTCAGTTTATTTGTCACAGTTTGTTCCAGATCAGTGGATCTTAGGAACTAAATGCTGCTTCTTCATGTTTGGTTTTAGTTCTGGGTGAACAGAGTAGGCTGGAACTAGAAGGCCTGAGTGGTCTGGGAGGTTGATCTACTGACAACAGAGCTGTTATGGATTGAGGTGCTGATCTATTCAGTGATTTCTAGACTAACAAAATTATTTTAAAGTCTATTCTCTGAGCTACAGGGATCCAGTGGAAGGAATTCAGAACCGGCTGTGATGTGCTCTACTTCTAAGTTCTAGTGAGAACTCTGGCAGCAGCGTTTCGGATCAGCTGCAGCTCTCTGATGGACTTTTTAGGCAAACCTATGAAGACACTGATGCAGAGATCAATTCTACTAAAGATAAATGCATGAATGAGTTTTTCTAGATCCTGCTTGGACATCAGTCCTTTAATCCTGGAAATGTTCTTCAGGTGATAAAAGGCTGACTTAGTAACTGCCTTCATGAGCCTCTGAAGGTTCAGCTCTGAGTCCGTTCTGACACCAAGATTTCAACCAAACACTGGGAAAAAAAATGTTTTTCTTTAAAAGAGTGATTTTTTTCTTGAATTGAGTAGATAAGTGACATTTTTCCAATGGAACAAGACAATTTTAATTTAAAATAACAAAAAAAACTATTTAATTGTCTTATTCAACTGTATATTATTAGTTACCTTATTTTAAGAGTAAAAATACTCACTCATTGGCAAATCATATTATTTACCTACTCAAATTAAGAGTAAATACACTTAATTTAAGACATCTTGACTTATTTATAGATCGTTTTTGCAGTGTAATCAGTGGTTTCTTGCTGGAAAATTTGAAGCTGTGTGCTAACACCGGATCTCTGCTCCTTTGGTCTGAAGATTATTAGCTCAGTTTTATTTGTATTCAGTTGGAAAAAATTATGGTGCATCCACATATGAATCTGTTCTAAGCATCTAGCCAACACTGTAAAGCTGTTTGTTGTCTGCATAGTTATGGTAAAAAAAAAAAAAAAAAAATCCTATAATCTAAGCTAAGAGCAAGAAGATGTTGAATAGGAGGGGCCCCAGCTCATTTATTTTTAATCACCTCACCACAGGACCTTTCTGGATGAAAGTATGGTTTTTTTGTCTATATGCATGAGAGTCTCCTTATCTGTGACACCGAAAGATTAAGGAGTAAATACATTCACAACAAATCAAAGCAAGCAGTTAAGAGGAAAGCATTATCTGGACATACTCGTTAATATTCGTTAGTACTCGTTAGTATTTTTACTCTTAAAAAAGATATTTAGATAAAATGCACTTTAAATGAGACAATGCAATTGTGTTTTCTTTTTTTTAAGCAAATTGTGTTGTTCCATTGGCAAAATGTCTCTTTTTCCTCCTCAATCAAAGAACAAAGGCACTTATTTTAAGAACAAATTACTTATCTAGTTTTCGTTTTTTTCCAGTGATGAAGGTTATTTGGTTTAGTGTACAGATCAAATGGTAACATCTAAACATTGTTTGATAAGGTTTGGATCATAGGCCTGAGGTGGTGATTATTGTACAGATTTCACTTTAATTCTTTAACAGGCAGCAAGATGCAAATATTCCTGTTTTCAATTCTAATAATATACCTACAGAGCTGTGTTGAACAGTTTTATTTTAATGTTTTATTTTGATTCAAAAATGACTTTTTTGTTCCCAAGGGGAAATTTAATATTACTGTACACTGAAAGAAATCAAAATCTAGATGACTAAATGTATCTTTTACCTCTTCAATCCAAGACAAAAGGCACTTCTTTTAAGAAAAGATTACAAATTTTAAGGAAAAAGGTAACATTTTAAAGTTGTTTTTAGGCAAGAATTAGCTTGTTAAAATAAAAAAATTGACAATATTTAACCAAGTTTAAAAAAGCTCTGTTGTTTACTTATGACCTAGGACCTGATAAACTGATTTCCATGACGGGTGAAGCTACGACTGTCCTAAAATGTGCAGTGTATCAGGGTTGTATCTGTAATATTCATTACTTTATTAAATATTCTTTGTGAAATGGAGCCTAGGTGGAAGTTAAACTGAATGAACTGATTACTCGCCTTATTATTACTATTATTATTATTATTATTATTATCATCATATCGGCCTTGTTATATTTGCATAATGCATGAAAAAAGTAAATAAAATCAGCAGCGCAAGAGTCTGTTCCGATCATCCGGCCCTTACCTCAGGCTACTGCAGCCCATTGGTTATCATCCCTGACAGTCTAAAGGGCTAGGCCAATCAGAAAGTAGAAAAACACCTTTAGTCTCCATTGGAACTTTCAAATGGATGCTGCGAAATGTGTCAAACTGACCAGGGGTGGACTGGGACAAAGAATCGGCCCTGGCATTTTTGGCTAGACTGGCCCACCACATTTTTTTTTGGTGTACTGAATGTGTATACCAACTGTGCAATACATTGAGGCCAGGTTAATGGAAATCAGTGACAGTGAACACTTAAAATACTTCCAAAATCTTAATTTATTAACACTGTAAAATGGAAACTCCACCACAGCCCAACAACAATTCCTAGATCACAGAGAGAGAGAGAGAGAGAGAGAGAAAGAGAGAGAGAAAGTCACAGTCAATCACACATATTATCACGTTATATCATCATAAGAAGTTATTGTAAGTTGCTCATCAGATCTATTCAGTCTTCCAGATACTTTGAGCTACTGTGAACTCATTTTGTAAAAAAAAGATGCCAATGGCAAAATGATGAATCAGTTGAAATCCTGTCAGAGGATGCACTCAGTGTAGGCTACAAAAAAAAAATCATCATTAGCCACTAGTGCTAGCATGAAGTTTATGAGTAGCAGCACCTGTGTTTGCTAAACTAACTTTACCATGGAACATTAACCAACATATTTTTATTGGGGTTATGTTATTTTATCATATTCATCAAGGGGTTGGTTGGTTTATCCTATCATTTCCAGACATCCCAAGTTCCAAAAACTAATTTCAGGGAGATGCCCCCATATCTGGCTTATTTTTATTTATTTTTTGTAAGCAGGCTTAATATCCATGTTGAAAGAGAGCATTCTATTCACCAGCTCTAGTTCTTCGGTCAGTCTTCGCCCTCTATTTTACAACTTCCTGCTTTTTATTGTGAGGGCGGTGATAAAGAAGGAAACACAAGAGAAAGGGAAGAGCATTGAAATCAGCTACTCGACTTTTTTTACCCGAGTAATAGCGATCTATCCCAGCATGTCTTCCAAAGAAATAATTAGGAAAAATATAACCAAACTCAGGGGCGTGGCCACATAGACACTAGGTGGTGCTAAAGCACTAGGAAGTTTGCCCTCTATCAAAGAAAATGCCCTTTTGAAACTCGTTTTTTTTTTTTTTATTATTATTATTAATATTATTAATATTTTACTGAGGTCGGTTTTGAAATGATCTTTTGAAAACCTGAGCCATTAAAAACGACTGAAACAATGCCCCGAAATGAGCCACTTACTTGCGCACAAACGACCCTCTCTCTCTTCCTTTGTCACGTGAACTTGCTCGGTCGCCCGCAGGGCATGCCAGATGCGCAGCATCATAGCAGGTTTCAGATAGCAGGAACGGTCGCTGACAGGCTGCTTCTCCCGTGCCCCATTAGCCAGGTAATATACAGATCAAGCAAAATCATTTTGTTGTGCATTAAAATGTCTCATTCAGCAGCACCAAACACGCATTTTGCCGACTGGTCACAGATAAACTAGTTGTCTCCTTGTAAGATGCTATTTTACTTTTTATATTTTATATCCATATTTTTTATCTTAAGTGTATACATTAGTCTATTTTATTGCATGACGTATACCCAGGGCCGGCGATTGCTATAGGCGAGCTAGGCAATTGCCTAGGGCGACAAATGTGTTGGGGGCGCCCTCTAGCGTCGCCATTAGGCTTACTTCCCATTAATCATAGAATTAGAAAAAAAAAGCGAATTAAACCGGTTATGAAGCGTCCGTCAGTTTGACTTAACCTTACGTATATATAAATAGCAAGATATGAACAAATAAATATACCACCGTTTTTTTATTTCTTTTTTCACATTTAAGAGAAAATGGGAAAAGATTCTGATCACTTTTCAAGCGCCTTCCAACCCGGAAGTCGTGACGTCAATCACTGCAGCATGTACACCAATATTTTGGAATGAAATTGTAAGCAAACAGATATTAAAAGTAAAACAAGTGAAGTCTGGCACTTAACTTTGCTCGCGACTCCAGAATGGCTGAACGGAAAAGACTCCTCCTCCAGCTGCTGCCGCAGTCGGGCCCGTCTTAATCATCCACTCAGAGTACCACTGGTAAGCGCACACAGACTTTGTAGCTTGTCCGGTCAGTTAAAAATATTAATTGTGAAATCCGTCTTGTAATCGGAAGCATACAAGCTAGTTAGCTTGAAAAGTAAATAAAGTTTCAGACGTGCTGCGTGATGATGTGTTCAGATTGGCTCAGTAAAATGACAATTAGGTTATCATGATGCGTTCAAGTGTAACGTAAAGAAAACGGGAAATTTTGTTTTTGGCGAGAAACATGACTAATACAGTTGTATACAGGTGCTGGTCATAAAATTAGAATATTATGAAAAAGTAGATTGATTTCAGTAATTCCATTTAAAAAGTGAAACTTGTATATTATATTCATACATTACATACAAACTCATATATTTCAGATGTTTATTTTGTTTAATTTTGATGATTACAAATGACAACAAATGAAAATCTCAAA